AACATTTTCAAAAGTATATGCTGCTTCAGATATTACGAAATAAAACAAATTTATATAAGCATCACCTTTTGAAAAACCAAAAGTTAAAAGTGAATAAATTATCTATATAATCCAATAAATAATGCCATTATAATTTAATCAAAATATAAAAAATGTCTGAATATTACAACTTGTAAATAACATTTTTTTTTAATTTCGAAAAATGAAATACTTTTTAAGATATTCTGTGTTCATTTTTAAAAGAATCACATTGTATTGCTAAAGAGTATGAACCAGTTACTGACATATAAGTACATTGCGCAATAGGTAATAAATTTATAAATAAATGCAATATTGTAATATGAGTAACTATAGTATAGGTATACGTAAAATATATTAAACTAATCTATTGACAATTCATCATTATTCATTAAAGTATTATATTTTAAAGACAAATAGAATACATTTGTTGACTTGTTGTTATATGTTATAATATATTATAATATTGTGTTTTTACAAAGTTTTATATTTAATTTGATTAATTGCAGAATAAATAATAATACAATTACTCAATTATGTTACTTATACATACTATATAATTATTGATTGATTGAAATTATTTTAAAAACGTGTACTGATCATTGTACTTTGAAAAAAATAATAGCTCAACCAACCATTTTTATGAAAAAAAAACGGTTCAAACATTGTTTGGATTACAAGAAACAGTGTATCATATTATACGAATAATGAAACATTATATTTACTGAAATATGATACCATAACAAATTTATAATTATATCTTACAAGTTGTGACGAAAAGACTTTAGTTTTGATATTGTACATATTGTATGCTTTACCTATTATAATTTACATTGTTTTTGTACAGCACAATCTATAGGTATAGTTATCTATTTAAAACTATTTAATATTTGGACTAGGTAAATAATTTATATTTTTTAAATAGTTACAATTGAAAAATCGTTAAAAATAACATTTGATCGAGACCACTATAATTAAATGTAGACAGTGATATATAGTATAATATTAATCAAATTATTAATTAAAATATTATCCTATTTAAGTTATATTACAGATTCACTGAATAGTTTTTAATGAAAACACAATTGAAGACTTTGACATTTTTTATCATTTTTATAGAGAAGTCATGAAATGGTAATGAACATTGGACTTTACTACATAGTTACATACAACATACACTATTAGTTGTGAGGTGATTTAAATATATAAACATATGTCTCAAACATAACATTTAAAGTATTAGTATAGGTATATTCATATATACAGGTTGATTCTTTTAACAGAAAAAATTCAATAACTCGAAGATTCGTAATTTTAAAAATATTTTGTTCTTTGAATGACTACAAATTATACATTTTTAATTTCATATTCCGAAGTATAATATTTTTCTGAGAATTTCGATTCACAAAAACCGAATTTATAATATTACAGTGGTTCTTAACCGATGTGCCTCGAATGAGGGACCATAATGATGTGTTTCGCCAAAAAAATTGTTTATTTGTATAGTACATGTTCAAACTTCAACGTATACATATTTGATGTTATTATAACGTTATGACATGATGGTAAAAACCACAGATAAGATAAAACAATTGTGAAGATAGGCTCATTCATAATTAATATTTAGGTTTTAAGAGTTGCTTTTTCAAAAATACTTCAATTATTTAAAGTGTGTCGCTATTTTCGTAGTTCTAACTTCTAAATAAGTGTTGGGGTAAAAGAAAAAAATGTTGAGAAGCACTATAGTTATATATAAGTATATAAAGATTAGTTTTGTTTAACGTGGTGGAGTAGCAGAGGGTTACCCCTAACTTTAAAATGTATATTTTATAACTAAAAATTACTCTTTCGAAATTTTATTTTATTATGTAAAAAATTTTAGAAAAATATTCTGCTTAAGCTTCAGGAATTAAAAATGTATAACATCATTAAAAACTAAAACAGGTTCTTGAAAAATGCAGATAAAAAAATAGGTATACTAAAATGTAATTTTATATCCAAAAATTATTTTTTTCTAAATCATAACTAAAAATACATAATATAGGTATGTAAAAAAATGGATGGTTTCATACCTAAATACTTTTGGAATAATGAGTGTTTAGTGCTTAACTAATCATTCTGTATACTACTTATACTGCATACATGTGAGCGTTAAGACTCACGCTTTAAAATATATCTATTGTGTATAAATATATATCAGAGTTTATCTCGAAATAATATAATACATTCATTTAATTTTTTATATATAATGGTTTGATAAAATTGTGTAATATATAATTACTATATTGTAAGGCGCAGGTACCCATTTAATATTAATATCATACGTTGAAAATCTTATCATATATATACGCATAATGATGAATTATGAATTATCAATACGTTTATATTTTAAACACAGTAGTCCAGGTTTTTATTAAATTTTTATTTTAATGATGATAATTTATGATATAATTCATTATGAAAAATAGGTAAATAAATAATACGGTTATTATCGTTGAACTATATATCTATATAATACATGCAGTAATTAAGATAACCGTTTTTAATTTTTAATGAATTTCTTACAATCTTAATATGTAAATATAATTAATAATATGCTATTATAAAAGTTATAATGATATTTTTAAATTAAAAGCTAAGCTTAAACACTGTTTTATTGGTGCATAAGAAACATAAATACTCGCTTTTGTCAATATACATTTTTGTTTGAATGAAATAGAGCAGAGGTAAAATAAAAAATATGTAAAATGTAATAAGTAATAACTTTTTAACCTTAGATCAATTGTTTGCTCACAATATTATTGCAATCAGCAAGTGTACATTTTACAAATATGACCATGTTCTGAAAGTTGGGAATTAAAGAAAAGAGTCCAAAGTATGTGGTTATTAACTGAAAAATAAAAATATATTGTATATTTCCATACCTACATTAAAATATAATGTGAACGTATTACATAACCTTGGGCAGTCAAGGATTGATCTTATCAATCATACATAAAGTCACAACAAAATCATTACTACGTCATCTTGGAATTTAAAAATATAATTATAGTTTATGATTTACAGGGTGTCCAATACGGTAATACTAATAAGGACTTAACCGTAGATAGTTTTCCAAAAATATTTAAAACAAAGAATTTGAATTTTTTTTTATATCCTATGTCATTTTACAAACTATAAAAGTATGTAATATGTACCCTCTAATGAGTGTAATTGAAAAGTGGGCAAGGAGGTAATTGCTCTGCTGTAGTTACCTACAGTACGAGTGTACTTCGGCATTGGCTAAGTCACCGTTATAGATGTGTGAAATTTTGATTCCATTTCATTAAAATAGCTCTAATCAGTGCAAAAAAGAAGCAAACTATTTTTAAATTATTTTGTGCCTGGTAAATTATAATATAAATACTTAAGTCTCTATATTAATTACATAATAATACATGCGTTACAAATAAAAACCATGAATACACTTTTTATTTCAAACTATATTTTATGTATTATTTAATTTATTAAATTAAATAGGTGGTTGAATCTTAAAGTATGGCAAATTTTAAAGTATAAAACACACAGCACTGCAGCAAAAAATCAAGCTTTTTTATGAAAAAATATTATTTATTGAGCATTAATTATCTTATATTATAATAGACTTCCTTATTATTTATTTGCAGTCCTACATCTTATGTTCTAATAGTATGAGCTAGAATCATAATACATAATTATTTTGTGCAAAGTCGCCCATAACATTCTTGTATTTATTGATTCTTTTTAAGTTTTTAGAGTATAAAAAGTGTTTGATTTTTGCATACCGATTTTTTAATAAAATTAAAAAAAGGTATATAGTTAATAGTTAGTAATTTCTTTCATTAATACAAGTGTATATTATATGTTTAATAATATTTTATAATAAGGAATTTATTTTTTTTAAATATGTTGATTTTATATCAATTTAAACGAACCTTTATATGTATTAAAATATAATGGTATCGATATTGATAATACTATCATTTGACGTTTATGAAATATATCATTCTTACAGTTTCTGTTTCCACATAACTTAAGCATTTGATTTACACTAAACAAATAAGGGAGTAATTACCGTATAATTGAAACAGAAAACGCCAATCGAAATTTTTGGTAATGATGTCGTAATGAACCTAAATCTAGAACGTATTATAATATAGCTATAGCTTTTATAGGGTTTCAAAAATGTACAAAATTAATAGATTATATTTTAAAACGAATGCTGATATTCACAGCACCATAGTAGGTACCCGTTGAAGGCCATTTAAACACATATTTTACTTGTTTTCGAATTTTGAAGTGGAAGAATTTCCGAGTGGATTTCAGAACTAACCTAGATGCTTACATTATCATTAAGTTACATTTTCGCAAGGAAAAAATTTAAAAAATTTAAATTTAAATTATGAAAGAGATAGAAAATAGTTAGAGTGATGTTTATGTTACTAAGATTTTAAAGGAGAAGGAGTGGATTTTGACCTTCTATACTGAGTATTATAATTCATGTAAATGGTGACCTAAGCGTTGATAAAAAAAAAAAATTCGAAATTATTAATTTCTTCAAACTTATAATTTAACGGCTAGTAAGTAATGACAGTTATATAAACAATATGTGGTAATACTATACAATATAAAATACGTTTTTATGTTGTATGTTCATGTACCTATCTGTTTACATTTCATTTAAACGAAACAATCATTTATCATTAACTAGGTACAGTATAATATGTATAATAGATGTCTGCATATGATAAACATCGATGTTTTGAAATTAATTTATGTTTTCAATAGATTGTTTATTTTTGTAACATTAAATAATTATCTTTATTACACAAGTATTACAACACTAGAAACAAGTAAATTTTACTGTTGTAGGTAACTAATTAAACGGGAGTACAGCTACATTTGTATAAATGTATAATCATTTGAATAAAACAATATAATACTTAATATTTTATCTGTTGCAGGAACCATGGTATTTTCAGAACGCCATCTGAAGAGTTGCAGTGTACCTACATCATTAATTATTCGAATATTAAAAATTATAATATTATTATTATTATTATTATTATTATAATTATCGTGATTTAATTAATAATGTACTTATATACAGAACAAAGGATTCATTTTTACTTATAAACATATTTTATTGAGTCCATAGTCAAAAATTCGATTCAAATTGATTCTCATTTAAGTATTTCTTTACTTAATCACTTAATAAAAAAAAGTAATAATAATGTTTTGTATACAATGTATCCTTTTAGTATTATTTAAAATTTGGTAGTATAATTTGAAGACCATAATTATTTGACAATCGATCAATGTCGATGAAATGATTATACGGTAACGAGTCATAATATTAACGATTATATTTTAATACTCTACGAACCTAAAATTTTCTTTAGGGGTAAGTATATAGTTTTAGCTGTCATACTCTCTTTATAGTATAATGCTCAATAATTAATAAATTAGTCTACAATTAATATTAAGAAGTTAACCTTCCCGGGAGTATAAACTAAATTAATTTTGTTACCAAGTGGATTATTTTTAATCGTAGAAGTTTAATTATACGAGAGAAAAGGTTGTTGCGTGCGAACTTTTAGATATAATCTGAAAGTTTGAAGTATTAACTAAGCCAAATAAAATGCTCGAGAATGATGGTTATTTTACAAAATAATAAAGCAGTAGTATAATATGTTAATTGGTACATTTCCAACGTGACCAAATTAAAACAAAAAATATTAATCAACAATAATAATGATTATGAAGCATTATATTTATGTATGACTGAAATTAATTCTATTAGTGACATAAATAATCCATTATAGAACTAGTATCTACTAAATTAGTAATATGTATAAATATTAAACCCAATATAGGTACCCACACTACGATACACAATACACATCTAGAAAATTGATTAGATTATTGAACTATTTGACGTGTATGTATTATATATATTACCTATGTGTAAGCGGTATATATAAAGTAACTATAAAAAACGCATGTATTCCAAGGGCATATTACATTATTATTTTTTACGAATAGCAGTATTAATTGTTATATAGGTACCTATAGTTATTGTAGTTCAGTTTAATTTACTTAATTTAATCATTCTTATCAATTGCAGAGGAATACTACAAAAAGGTTTTGTGCTGATTTTTGTAAACGTACACCTACGACACACGAAACTTGCACTGTGAGTGGTATTGTAGCCATCGAGCTAAATATTATACCATATAAGAAACGACTCTTTTGTACTCAACATTCAGAAAACGTCCCCGTTTCTGCCATATGGCGTTCATTCATGTATAATACAATATTATTTACAAAGTGTTTTTACTAAATTTTATTTTTGTCTCGTATAATATTTTAAGTAATAAACGATGAATGGCTTTGAATTTATATTATTGATAATATTATAGAAAGAAACAAAAACATAATGAATACAAATCAGGAACAAGAATGGTCTACATAAGAGAACCATATTGTGTCTACAATGCCACTACAATGTATCGAGTGGCGTATTCAGGGTGGGCTATGAAGACTTCAGCCCCCTATTCATGGGCTTTGTTTTGGTATAAATCTTATATTCTTATATAATAAAAGGAAGGTACAAACCATTATATTTCTGAAAACCGTTTTGAAAACCGTTTTATTATTACGTTTATCAATTATTTGTAGAGCCGAGTAGAGGATATTATGGATATAGTAATAACGACCTAGTATAAGCACCTTACTTAGCATAACCTTATATAAGGTGATGGATATGCAATTTTAATTTACTTCGTTTATCAACCTCCTTCGAAATTTAAAAATCCTACGTACGCCACTAAAAGTATATTATCCTAGTTAGGTGTGAATTTGTAGCGGAGTTATACTCCGACATTAAAGCAAATAAAAACTGTCCTGTAGCTTGATATTATTGGGTACCCGAATACTGAGTCGTTCTAGAAGATGTGGAACTATACGATGGTCTATGTAACCATTTAATAGGCCCTAAATATAATACACGTTCCAAATCGTCCAAAATTCTTACGTCTTACATCCGAGGAGTACCTATAGATACCTACTGATACCTATAGAATAAAATATCGTGATAATTTCAACTCGATTTTTGTATGGGTAAAAAGAATGAACACATATATTCAGTATTTTGTATTTGTGTTTTGTATATGTATTTTGTTCAGACTATAGTCTGCTATATTAGGAGGCGATAGTGGTGCAACAAGCCAGCAATTTTTGGTTTTTTTTTTTTGGGGGGGGGGGGGCTGAAGCCACACCATGCATTTCTTAAAAAGTAATTCGACGGAGCTTTGACACCATCCCCCTAATATTCACTATCCATTTGTATTTAAACAAAAAAAAAAAATTAAATACGTAACAAAATAATTATTTCTACTCAAGTTTCATTTTTATTTTATAATTACTAATGAAAATGTTCACGGCTTTTAAGTCTTACTCAAAAATGTGAAGTCAGATGTATTATAATTTAACAAGTTTTTAATAAGATATACAAACTATATAGGTAACTACGTAATATACTTTTAACTTTGACGAAATAGAGCCTGTACTCAGAGTTTTTCCCGAATGAAATAGGCCAGTATAAAAAATTGATAACAAAATATAAATACACTTTACAGAGCATTAAAAAAGTAAGAATTACAAAATGTTTTATGTCTATTGCGCGGTGACATCGTTGACGTTAGTGTTGATTATATTATGTGAGTATCATCGTACAACATTCACAACTGTGCAATATATTATGTTGAATGTTTTATATTATTATTAATTTATTTTGAATTTATGTTATAGGAGTTCAAACATTTTTTTTAGTAGGTACTATAAAGATACAGAATACACGTATGCGTTTAAACCCATTTCTGGCCATTTGTGAGCAATTGACATTTCTGTAAGTTATGTGTTACTAAATATAGTACGCTCTGGGTTGTCGCGCCACTGATTATATAGGTACCTACATAAAAACATTTACGTAGAGGTACGTTATGTCGGATACAAATTTTTTTTCAATGTACCTACACGAAAAATTGGTCAGACGCGAACGGGACGCATATAAATAATATGTGCGGTACATAGATAAAAATAACGTTTGAATTAAAAAAATATATGTATCTATGATATACCTATTAAATCGATGTACATATAGGACCGCAATAGTTTTCGTGTGAAAAAAAAAAGATGCTTATAATATAATATATATATATAGATACAGCCAGGTACGTTGTAAACGATTCGGTGGTTATGAGGATAAACACCACGCTTACTATTATATGGTTATATTCATATAATATATATACAGCCCGATAGAGGTACCTATGTACATAATATATATATTCAAGTATCAAATATACATGCGTGTACCTAAATAGCTATATTTATGTTTAGTGTACATACATAATAATATATGATACGATATTATATATAGGTATATAATATAATACAATATTATGTACATTGTACGTGTAACTGCGATCAGCACACAAGTGTAACGCACGTATGAATCGGCAATAGGCATGCCGTTTGTCCACGGTCCATACACTCATTATCGATAAATCCCGGTGCGTGTGTGAATTCATGCATTTGCTCGAGTAAGTTGGTATATTATATACCTATGGTTCGGTGCCGGTCGATTGACCGCCGATTATGCTAAGTCAGTATTACGAATTTGTTTCTTCGCGCACAATATATATGACATTTCATCGTGCCCGCGCCGCACATATAATAATACCTATACGCATATATATATAGTTATTCCATAGTTGTATTTTATTCGTATATGTACGAGCAGCCTCGTACGAATGACGGTGGTCGCAGAGATTTCCAATGCAGGAGCATCGTATCACAATGCGAATAAAATACCGCGCGTTCGCGGAAACAAGGTACCTATATACACTTTATCCCTCATTACTGCGTAAATCAACTTTCAATTCTGTTTCAGTCACATTCGACTGGACTAGAGAGGATCATACCCTTCTATGATTTACAATTTTTTAAACTCACGTAGGCGGAATACAACTTCTTTTTTTTTTAATGGCGATCCCTATTTTGAATATCATTTCGGATTGATCGTTCTTCTCAAAATTAATTTTGAACTATTAACTTGTATTCTTAACCCAAAATTAGTAAGATTAGAGCTAGTTATGGTTGAAAAAAAAATGTACTAAATTTGTTTTTGTTTTTAATCGTGCGTATTTTTCTCTTTCTCAGCACTATCATGCAATCAAATGTGTTATGATTAAAGTAATGAACTAATTACTTTTTATGAATTAGTATTTTATCTATTGAATAATTTATGTTCGTGTAATTTCTGTAAATTATAAATTGTCAAAAAAAATAAATTTGAAATTTAGAATTTTGTTTTCTGAAAATACATGTTTTTATAGTAATTTAAGTAATTTCATAAGATGTAATAATAAAATAAAAGATACTATATACTACTGTCAGTTAAATACTGATAATAAATTAAGGTTCATAATTATATTCGCATCTATAATATATGCACGTCTGAGCTGATACTACTCGTAGGTACAGATATAATATATGTAAGATAGATTATAGATTATTGCGTATATATATATATATATATATATAAGTACATGTACCTTTATATAAGCTTGACGATTTAATACACGAATTCTCATATCAGTTGGTTCTTATAGATTTATATAAAAAAAAAATTTTAAAAATGAGAACAAATTCACATTTATTTTTTATGAGTGTTTGAAAAAAAATTAAGATATGTTAGCGTTGTCAAAATACAGAGTTTCACATTCTTACAGCAACCATAAATGCCAAAAATACATATTATGTACAATTTTGTATTGGATATTTTAAGTTTAAATTTTAATGAAATTGTATACTTAACGAAAAATAAGAATTTTAGTTACTTTGGTGTAGTTCAAAAAACATTTTTTGTAGAGTCTTGAAACTTTTCAAGTAAATTCACTACTCAATAAGGAATTTAAATTAAATATTTACAGTAGATACTATTTATAGATAATACCTCAATTCTATTCACACTATTATAGGGTAACGACATCCGTAT